TCGTGAGTGGCTTCGCGGATGAACGGGCTTTCCCGGCACAGTGAGGCAAGCCCAGGTTTTCCCGTTGCCTCCTTACACATGCGGGACAGCGCACGCCAGTTCCCCTCCACCCCTTTTGTTTCCCTACCTGCCCACAGCAAGCAAGTTTAGGATTTCTTGGCTGCTTGGTTTTCCTCCTGACTCGTCACCCGAGCGGGAATCGCGTGCCAGCTCCCCGCCTCCTCTTGGCTTCCCTCCCCTCCCACACCAAGCGGCGCTTACTGGAGGTGCGTCTGGGGAGCAGGGGGGTCGCGAGCGGCTTCAGGGACGACAGGGGCTACTTGGGAAGTTCAGGAGCTCCCTTTCGGCATTGAGCAGGGGTTTCCCGGCCTGGGGCTCGGGAGGGGGAGGTTCCCTTGTTCCTAGTCGGGCTGTGTCTAGCAACTCCCTTTGTTTTTGCCGGCCACGTGGGCACTCAGGAGCTCCCTTCCAGCGCCGAACAAGGGTTCTCCTGCCCGGGGGACGAGAGGGGGAGGTCGCCTTTGTTTTGCCGGCCACGTGGGTACTCCGGGGCTCCCTATCACCATGGCGCGGCCGGCCACGTGGGTACTCAGGGGCTCCCTATCACCACAGCGCGGGAGCCTCCTGGACGGAGTTGAGAGGGGAGGTCCCTTGGGCATTAACTGGAGCCAGGTGGGCACGGAGGAGCTCCCTTCCAACACAGGGCTTGCGGTGGCAGCCAGCCATTGTTCAGTTTAATTCAACAGCTGATCGGCAGCTCCGCAAAATGTCTTCCCTAGGGTGTTTTCGGCACTGCTTTGGAAGACAGTGATTTTATATGGCTTCCCTATGGGCGATCTTCGCACGACGACAACTTTTTCCCTCATCGGAACACATCAAAAGGGTTTCAGTGCATTCTAATGGGGAAATGCTTTTCGCAAGATGATGATTTCACTAAACAGCAATTTCAATGGAACGCATTATCATCGTCTTGCGGGGCACCACTGTATATGTAATTCTTTTACCTTCAATGCCTGTATTTCAAGCCAGGTTTGTAGTTGTGTAGAACAATTGAATAGTTATGGTTTGGTTTGACAAACAATTCTCCCTACTGTGGAAAGCCCTTTCTTCTGTTCAAGCTCTCTTTACAAATATCTCATACTTGGCAGTTCTGATCAGATCATATTGTTTATCTAAGTTGCTTTAAAATATACATATGCTTGGGCTGTTGAACATTTGATTTCTCTTTTGCTAGCTTTGATATTGATAGGAATAATGACAACATTTAACATGACAGCTCTTAGGAAATGCATTATATAGATTTTTGTTTAGAATATAACAAAATTAAGATCCTAATTTTCTTTTGTAGACATGAACGAACACAGTTCTAGAAGTCACAGTATCTTCTTAATTAATATCAAACAAGAGAATGTTGAAACTGAAAAAAAACTGAGTGGCAAACTGTATCTTGTGGATTTAGCTGGGAGTGAAAAGGTAACGCCTGTGACTGCTGTACATCAAATTACTGATTTTTTTAGTAGTGTGTTGGTAGTTTTTAAGATTGCATACCTTTGTATATAATGAAATGCATGTTAAATTTGCAGCACCTTTATTGAAGAGCTTAGTTTTCAGTTTGAAGGATTATGGTGTATCACATCTGTGCTGTATTTGGAGACATATTTAAAGTTTGTGGGTCGTCTCTTGAGTGCAGCTTTTTTACCTGTAACTTTCCCTCACATTTTGTAATTCCTAGTGTAGTTTGACCAATATCATTTTTAAATTTGTTATTTTATTTTGCTGGCAGGTCAGCAAAACTGGGGCAGAAGGCTCTGTGCTTGATGAAGCAAAAAATATTAATAAATCGTTGTCTGCTTTGGGCAATGTGATCTCAGCACTGGCGGAAGGAACTGTAAGTAATTTCATCCCTTTTAACTGACTGTTTAAGTAGTAATCATTCCATAGACTTATTTTTCCATCCCTAGTTCTCTACAGTACGTCATTGTGGATGTGGTTGTGTTTCAGGTTTAAATGAGAAAGAAACATAATGCTCCTGCCAATCAGTGCTGTTAATTGCTATGCATTTTTATGTTTGCAAATGAAGGGCCTTTCCCTATTGGACAACATATGAATTTAATAAACAAGCATTATTCTCTTTATGTATTCTATCTCATGTACAAGTGATAGAATCGTATAGATAACTATTTGTGCTACATATCGCTTTTATTCTCTTTTAAATCAGGAAGTCCCACCCCTACATATCGCTTTTATTTAGAGATGGTGGTATTCGTATTTGTGTATGAATACCCCTTCATAGGTGGAGATAACGAAGGAGAAAAAACATGGAAGAAAAGATTATTTTGTGGTTTATATTCCTTTAGTGGCTTATGGGAAGAGAGCCACTCAAACATGAATCATCTGTGTTAAGGGAAGACACACAGATTTTTCAATTTCTACCCTGTTTCCCTCTTCCGTATAGTCTCTACTTTATCCCATTGTGTGTAAAATCACCCGAGACATTTATTATTATATTTTAAGTGAATAGCATTGTGAAAGCTTCTATGAGCAGCTGGCTAATCAGAACATTGGGAGGGAGTGGGAATTTTGAATTGGTAAAGGGGCCTTAATTGGTTGGAAGAAGAGGACTCTTTCCCTTCAATTGTTCTGGGGAAATCTGTACTGTCTTTCAACCACTGGCAGTGGAACAACAGAAAGTGTCCATGTCTGTGTGTGCAAGAGAGAGAGAGTACAGAAGAGAGTGAAAGGTGATGGAGACCCCTTTGGCCCTGCACTCATTGGGGTGCCCTTGTATTCTCATTCTTACTTCCCAACCCTAGGCACATAAAGTATATAAGGTGGAGCTGGCAGCAGTAGCTTCCAGAGTGCAGGTTTCTGATGGGAAGGGGCAGAAATAGGCAATGCAAGAGGACAAAGGGAAGGGGAAATGGCTAGGGCTGCTCTGAGATGAGTTGGTTACAATACCAAAGGCATATGGGGGACGGTGAGATAAAACATTATTCTCCAACCTTATGCCCTTAATGTGTTGGAAGACAGTCCACAGCATCCTCTACTATATGATCATTTATAATGGGGGGCTGAGAATTTTGAGGGGTAATAGCCTTATGCATGCAGACAGCATCAGGCTGGAGACAGCCAAATGTAAGAATCCAGTTTTACAAAATGTAGCTGCAGACTGAAATTTACTGTTCATGACTAGTGTTGTTAGGCAGCCCTGTCTTTTTTTTTTTTAGTTTTTTTTTCTGTGTAATAAAATTGAGACCTACTGTAGGTTGGAAATTTAATTGTTGGTCCCACACAGAGTAGACCCATTGAATTCATGGGGCTTTGGTAAGTTAGCACTTTTGTAAGAACCATTTTTTTCCTGTGAAGTCCACTCTAGTTGAAATTAACAGATGCAGTCTGAGTTCTGTCCTAATCTTACAATAGATATTTCTGATGTACAGATTGGTGGCTGGAACTTCTGTCTTGCTTCTTTCTCTTTGCCAGCATATAAAAATATATACTCAGCCTAAACTTCAGTAGTTTTCAGCTTCAGTTTTAAATGATGATAAATTCAATGCATTGCCTTAGTGGTGTAAAAATAATTTGACATATTTTGGTTTATTGGGATTTCCTTGGTTTGTCTCTCTTAATCAGAAAACACATGTTCCATATCGAGACAGCAAAATGACCCGAATTCTTCAGGACTCATTAGGCGGGAATTGTAGGACCACCATTGTCATCTGCTGCTCCCCATCCATCTTCAACGAAGCAGAAACCAAGTCTACACTAATGTTTGGACAAAGGTGTGTAAGGGTGTTTTTTTTTCTCAGAATAGATTGTTCCAGAGTTTGGGAAGTTACTTGTTTGGAAATAAAGTAATTATAATTATAGTTCTAAGACCCTGCTATGTTATTATTATGACCCATCAAGTTATTGTTACAGTTTTTTAAAAAAATACTTTCTGATACTTCAAAAGTAACTGAAATTACCGTATTTTTCGCTCCATACGATGCACCTGTCCATAAGACGCACCAAATTTTTAGGAGAAGAAAACAGGAAAAAATAATCTGTTTTCTTCGCTCCATAAGACGCACAGACTTTCCACCACCCTGTTTTGTGGGGGGAAAGTGTGTCTTATAGTGCGAAAAATACGGTAATTATCAGAAAAGGAAGCAGTTAGAAGAAACTTATTAGTCTACATAGTTATTTCCAAGCTCTTAATTATTTCTTTGTTAAATGTCATAAATACTGACTTTTAGTCAAATAGAATTGCTGATGCAAAATAGGAGTTAAAAACTTGAGCTAGAATCCTGTTCATTTATTCAACTGCAAAAAGGCAATTGCATACACACTTCTCAACTTCCAGCAGGATCTCTTTCCAGGTGAATTTGTGAGCACTGATTGTGACATTCATTGTACTAGCAATGAATGAGGGAAAATACACTGCATGATCACCCTTATGCATGTGTGAATAGGCTTTTGGCTGTAGAGCTTATGAATACAAACTACAGCCACTTGTTATTCTATGAAGCTACAATGTGTTAATAATATCTAAGCTTTATTTTCTAAAAGGCGAGACCAGTTAAGACTGCAGTTTTATGCTCCCATCTCTGAATAAGGCGGTTAAACTGAACAAGGTTTTCTGAACAAATAAGGGCATTTGTGAAAGCATTTTTTGAGCATTGTCTGGGCTGCTCCTTGCCCAACCACTTGTGTGACTCGGGGATGACTGGGTCCATGAGGGGTAGTCAGGAAAGCGGCTCCCATTGCTTCTGCAGTTGCCCTTGTGCAAAAGTACAAGCCCATGGAGTTCTAGTCAGTAGGAATTACTTCTGAGTTATCGTGCATAGGATTGTGCTATATATCTTTTAAGTAATTTATGTTATGTGCTGTCAAGTTGGAAACGACTTACAGTGACCCTAATAGGGCTTTCAAGGTAAGTGAGATATTTAAGGAGTGATTTTACCAGTTTCACTCCCCCAGGCAGTTTCCATGGTGGAGCAGGGATTTGAACCCAGGCCTCCTGAGTCCATGCTGTCACTCTGTCCACTTCACCACACTGGATAACTCTTAAATAATCTGCTGGCATTAAAATATGCACTGCATTCCTCCATACGAGTGTATTGAGAAACACAAAGGGAAGAGGATGGCAAGGAAATGGTTACATATGGTGTAGGGAGAGTGCGAGGAAGAAATGAGGCTGGTCAAATTAAGTTTGGATAAGTAAAGATTGCGGGACATGGTGGCGCTGTGGGCTAAACGGCAGAAGCCTGTGCTTCAGGGTCAGAAGACCAGCAGTCATAAGATCGAATCCACGCGGTGGAGTGAGCACCCGTCGCTTGTCCCAGCCTAGCAGTTCGAAAGCATGCAAATGCGAGTACCTTCGGTGGGAAGGTAACAGCGTTCCGTGTCTAAGTGGCACTGGCCATGTGGCCACGGAAGATTGTCTTCGGACAAAAACGCTGGCTCTCCTGCTTGGAAACGGGGATGAGCACCGCCCCCTAGAATCGAATACGACTGGACAAAAATTGTCAAGGGGAACCTTTACCTTTAAGTAAAGATTGCCAGGGTTGGCTCTCAGAATATTTGCTATCATCCAACAGGGACACTGGCAAAGCAAGAACGGAATTGCACATACAGCAAAAGAATGTGCTTTGTGATTAGTTTTATGCATCAGTGCTTTGCTGGCTTAAAACCTGGTGTTGCTGTATTGATTTTCTAGGGACTGTGTTGGTCTGAATATACACTTCCACAAATAAGGTGTGAATCAGATATGTGAATATATATTAACTGCATCCCTCTTTTTGCCTTAATCATTAAAAAAAAGTGTTTTGGAGCTGACTGAATCAGCACAGTGTGGCATGACCTCTTCTAATGAGGGCTTTGATCGATGTTGCATAAACAATGAATTCTGAGATGAGATGGAGTGAGCAAATGAGTCTATCATGGATGCTAGTCATAAAATTGGAAGCAATTGACCAGTTTCTTTTCGAGAGAAAAAAAGAAACACAATTTGTTTATTATACAAAGGTTCCCACTTTTTTCTAGCCTCAGCAATTTATTTGTCTTTTAAAATATCCATCTCAGCTATTGTTGTTTTTCTGAAGGAAAACCTTTACATTTGCTGGTGTTACAGTTGCATATATGTCTGTCTATACATAAACATAACGGTGTTCCGTGTCTAGTCATGCTGGTCACGTGACCATGGAGAACTGTCTTTGGACAAACACTGGCTCTATGGCTTGGAGACAGGGATGAGCACTGCGCCCTAGAGTTGGACATGACTTGTCTAAATGTCAAGGGGAACCTTTACCTGTACGTAAACATCTGAGCTCTGGTAGGGATGGGAAGAATTTGGTGTTGTATTTTGAAGCAATCCTGTGCAAAATGCAAACCAAGACACAGTTGATACTTGCATTTCCCTAGTCCCCTCCAATTTTTTTAAAAAATACATCAGTGAAAGGTGTACACAAAAAATCATAATGTTAGTAAAAAGCATATGTACAAATATATTAGGGAATATTACTTGTAAACCACTTGCATTAGGCAAAAATCTGAACAAAATGCGTATACGTGTACAGTACCTGAGGCCATTGCGGGAGATCATCTGGAGATTTGGAGTACGCTGTCATCAATGCTTGCATTAGGCAAAAATCTGAACAAAATGTGTATACGTGTACAGTACATGAGGCCATTGCGGGAGATCATCTGGAGTCATTTGGAGTACGCTGTCATCAATATGCTGATGACACACAACTCTGTCTCCTTTTCATCAGCAGCAGTGGAAGCTGTTTGGATTCTGGAGCAGTGCTTAACCTCAATTATGGACTGGATGAGGGCTAACAGATTGACGTTGAATAAGGACAAGACGGTGATCATGTTGATGGGAGGGGACTCTGTCTGGCTAGAAGATATTTTACCTGATCTGGATGGCAACACACTCCCTCTGACGGAACAGGTCCGCAATTTAGGGGTGCTTCTGGATCTCACACTCTCCATGGAGAAGCTAATAGCAGCAGTGACTCTGCCTTTTTCTGTCTGTGGCAGATTGCACAGTTTCAGCCCTTCCTACACGGAAAATCTCTGACCACACTGGTAGTCTCTAGGATTGATTACTGCAATACTATCTATGTGGGGCTAACTTTGAAGGCAGTACCAGAACTACAGCAGGTGCAAAATGCAGCGTCCAGGAGCATGGAGATACGACCATGTCTCTCCAATTATGGCACATCTGAATTGGTTTCCTGTTTGCTTCTGTGCCAAATACAAAGTGCTAGTATTAAATTATAAAGCCTTAACAATTTGTGGTCTCAGGACCTGTTGGAGTGGATTTCTCTAAGATCATCTACCTGGGCTACCTGGTCTTAACGGTTACAGTTAGTCATTCTAAGAGAGGCCCAGAAATCTACCACAAGGAACCGGGCCTTTTTGGTGGTGGCTACAACATTGTGAACACATTGCCTGTGGATATACCCCAGACTCCCTCTCTCTTGACCTTCAGGAAACTTATAAAATCTGAGCATTTAAGGAGGCCTTCAGCAACATCCTCTCCTTATGGTTTTTTTCACATTGTCTTGTGTGGTTGTATTTGTATTAGGTTGCCATTGTCTTTGAGGGTTTCTTTCTTTTTTCCTATCATTTTTATGATTTAGTTGTTTCCTGTACATGGGTGGTTCATATGTTTATTTGTTGTTAGGCACCCGGAATAGTAGCTTGCCACTAGATGGGCAGGATATAAATGCAATCAGTCAATCAGGGAGAAATGCACAGTTTTATGGTTTTTTAAAATCGATTATCGCAAATTGAAATGAACCAAATTTATGTGCATATAGGTTGTTAGATCACATGAACTCTGGTGGTGAATTGCTGCTATTGAACGAAGTACCAGTTGCATTCCCAGTTACACAACAGGCACAAACTAATTTCATTAATCAGTGGCAATTTTTGCTATGAATACAATTTCACTTACGCGCATGTTAATTGCCACTATGTTTCAGATTCTGGTGAAAACATTTAAAACATGACTTTTAAGATAAAGAGTAGTTTCCAGTCCCTTTGATTCTCCATATAAAAATGTGTTGAGGATTGGACAAAAATTAAGAAGATGAGAGTTTTAAGATTAATGTCAGTAAGAATAAAGAAGATTTTTTTAAAACATTAAGGTGGTACATGACTCCGGTGAAATTGAACACAATAAATTCAGACTATTCTAAGGCCTGTTGGAAATGTGATGAAGAAATTGGCACGTATTATCGTGATAGGAGTGTAAATGGATTCAGAAATTTTGGAAATTGATTTTTAAGTAAATATGTGATATATTTGGAAAATATATTGAATTTAACTCTAAAATTTCTTTGCTGTCAATTTTTGATAAGATAGAACTTGATCATTGCTCAAAGGATTTGATTTCTAATTTTATGACAAGTGCTAGAATATTAATAGCTAGA